GGGGAGGGGGAAGGGGAGGGGGAGAAGGGATTTGTTATTGGTGTCTCGTGAGTAGAGGCCAGAGATGCTGCTAAACACCCTGTGATGCACAGAATAGCGCCCCCCACCCCCCCCAAAGAAAAAAGCATCCAGCCCCAAATGTCAATAGTGGTGAGGTTGGGAAAGTTTGCTATAGAAGACTATTATAAAACCTTTGAGACTGGAGAAACCCTATTAGGACAATAGATTCATGCTGCTCCTTAAAGGAAAAATGAGATTTGACAAGAGACTTAATCAATGGCTAGTGACTGAGTGAGTTGATAAATCCTTGGTGTTCCAGGGGAAGAATCTGAGGGTGTCGTGCATTGAGCCTTAGGGCAAGGGAACAAGGGCAGGGTATGGCCGTGCCCCAGGGAGGCTAATTTCTTTTTTTAAAATTCTCACCTTAGGATGTTTTTTCTATTGCTTTTCAGAGAGAGTGGAAGGGAGGGAGAGAGCGAAACATCGATGTGAGAGACACATCGATTGGCTGCCTCACACACGTGCCCCGACCAAGGCTGAGGACTGAGCCTGAAACCCAGGCACATACCCTTGGCCAGAATCGAACCTGGGTCGCTTCAGTCCGGGGCCGACGCTCTAACCACTGAGCACACCGGCCAGGGCAGGAAGGCCAATTTTAAGGCTGATTTAGGAGATGTAATCCAGTACTTTATTAGTGTTCTAATTTACATTCCTTTGTACATTATTAAGGTTAGATACTTTCTTCACATATTTATTTACTAACTGTATTTCCTCTTTTGTAAGTTTTTCATGTTTTTGTTTATTAGCCACAGGGAAATGAATATTCTTATTAATTTGTGTATGTGTTCTATATATCATTAAACGTATATTATAAAACATTTTATATAACATACAAATTAATCTATGGTCATGTTTGATGTAATTTTGGACAGACATTAAAAAGGTTTCTGTTAAAAAAAAGATATATGTTAAAACGCGTTCCATATAAAGGCTTTCTATTTCACGGTAATTTCTTACAGAGAATACTTCACGTACATCTATGGGAGTCAGGTTGAGCTTATTTTCCACACCTGGTGCTTTTTTTTGTATGGTGGGTTCCAAAGACACATACCTGAAAATTCTGACAGTATACAAATTTGGCCTCAATCCTTTACAAACAAAGGAGTTTGTGGCAAAAATATGTGTAATGGATACAAAAACACTCACTTGCTTTGTATGTTAAAATGGTGACTCATTTGTTTTTTTTCAGGATTATCACCATCTGCCAGTTGATACTCAAATAAGCGCCTTCAGAAGGACTTTTGGAGGAATGAGTTGACCACAAGACAATACAGAATGGCTTCAGCTCTTCGCACATTGACCTTACTCTCCGACGTCGGAGTCAGTTTTACAGCAGCAGTGGTACTTGGTTTTTGCCTTGCCCAGGAGAAGCCTCTGGTGTAGATAATTGGGAAGCAAGTCAGGAGACATGTCTTGTGCTAGTCACTTACCCGCTGAGTTTGTTAAAGAACATTTATTAAAGGCTTGCTGGGAACAGACCATCATATTATATTTAATGATATAAAGGCTTCTTTTCCTGAAAAAACATGAGTCTAGTTGAAGAAACCATGTATGACATGGATACATGAACTGACATGAGCTTTATTATGGATTATCTTATGAAAAGATAGGGTACAAATTGCTTCATTGCTAAAAATGTGGGCTCTGGGTTCAGACTGGTCAGGCTAGGATAGAGATTCATGGTTCTTTAGCTGTGTGTCTTGGACAAGTTACATCACCATTCTGTGCCTCAGCTTCTTCATCTGTAAAAAGCACAAAGGACTCGACATAGGACAAAATGAAGGCCCTTAGAACAGTGCTTGGTACATTGTAAGCATGCAATTAATAAATATTAAAGGGATGTCAAATCAGGAGGTTATGAGAATGGGCTAGACTTAATCATAGAAGCATTCTTGCAGAAAAGGAGTTTTAAATCTAGGATTGTAGCAAATGAATATAGACTGACAGTTATAAGAAGAAAGACACTTCATATTGAAGGAATAACCTATACAAAGAAAAGAGCTGATTACATGATACTAAAGAATTTAGCAAAAAATGTATCCAATTAGTAGCCTGTGATATAATCATGATGCCAAACATAGTGAATTTAGCTAACTTATATGCAAAAAAAGAAGAGAAACTGAGTTGCCTCACTGTTTTCCCTAAAAGTTACTACTGTTTCCATCTTCCAAAAGGAAAGACCAAGGTTTCCAATTTTAGAAACACTTATAGTCACCTGAAATAATAGCTAAGCCCAAGAACTAAGATAAACAAACAAAACAAAACAAAACAAAACCAAAAACAAAAAAACAGAGAGCCTGGGAACACTTGATATGGAATCTACTTTTCACTGTCTTATAATAGGAATGGGAGTTTGTAATGGTCACTGTGCCATTAAAATCAGCTTAGATTCTATTTTTTATCATTAAGTCAAGGAAACAGGTAAAATTATAGATGTTTTGGCTTTAAAATAATGAAACGTGTTGGAATTCCTAACCCTTATCAATTTCTAGGCCAAGCACACGCAGTGTTCTTGTAGATATACAGAGCTCTGGTGCTGGATTGCAATCTCCTTTCCTTTCCTAAGAGCTGGTTTAACAAGCCAGAAGAAAGTGTCGAGGCTCTTTTTACTCCCCTTTCTTTTAATTTTGGAACCTGGAGCAAGCTCCATCAAGGAATTTCCTGTTTTCTTTTTCTCTGAGGCTCTTCTTGACGCATTCCAAAAGCCTACAGATGCTCCCAAAGCTCACACTAAGCTTTGTGTGTGAGCTCCTGAAATCAAATGCCTCCAAATCTTTCAGTTTTAGGTAACTATAGATCACAAGAGCCACAAAAATTTCTAATCCTAGAGACCTCTAACTTCAAAGCCTCTTTCTGCAGCTCTGCCCCTGCTGTGAGAGACCACTCCCCCGTCCTGCGATGTCTGCCCCTGGACAGGGGGGACCGGAGGAGAGGGGCTCCCGTGGCAACACTTGCCTTGGGCTGGGCTGTGGCCCCCAGTCCTCCGAATTGCTAGTCAGGTTGTCCACACTGCTCTGAATTTGTGATGCGGACCTTCATCCCATTTTCACATTTTCTTTTCTACTTTGTAGAACTCCTTTCTAAGTTATTTGGGGTGAGTGGAGTAGGAAATGGGTCAACTTTAAACTTCATTTACCTGCAAATTCACTTGTGTGGAAGAGCACATTCTCTGATAAGCCCACTGAATGGAGTATTGTTGGTCATGTAGTGTAATATATGCAATATAATGTATATGAAGACTGGTTTCACATGATGACTTCTTTAGGGTTTATTTTATTCCTGAGAAGTAAACTTCAACTCTTTGTAGACAGATGTGGATTACAGTAATGATTGTCCAGTAAGAAATTCTACTGTGACCGAAACACTGCATTTCACAGGGTATAGGAAGTGTTGGGTTAAACATCATTAAATGTTTTTTAAAATTGACTGACCATGAGAGTCTCGGGAATGGAGTTTGGAGGATTTTACTGGATTTCAGACAGAGAAACGTAATATTTCGTTGATGTGGTAAAATTGTAGGACTCTAAACTAATTAACCTGCAAATTAAGAACAGCTTCTCCCAAAAAGCAGCCAGGTTTCTTATTCAGGCCGGATGAAGAACCTGTCTTAGCCTGTCTGGCGGAAACGCAGACAGAAGTGCAGAGAGGAACAAAACTGCAGCAAAAATAACCGAGGAAGTGCGTGTGATCGAGCCCGTGTTTGCTCTTGAAAGCAGAGGGGCTCTGCCTCTGGCTGGTTGCGCGGTGCTCTCCAGGACTAAATGAAATGTGGCACGGAATAGGGGGGAGGCGGAGGCTGCGACTGGGTTCCACCTTTACTCTGTGCCTGGCACTTTCCCTATATCGTTACATTTATCCCCCCAAGGACCCCAGTGGCAGCTGTTATTATCACCCCTGTGGCTGAGACATGGAAACGAGCGTCAGGGAGCTTTCGGAACTTGCTCAGGGCCTCACAGGTAAATGAATTGTGGAACTGAGTTTCTCATCCAGTCTGGGTCCAGAGCCCAACAGCGCTGGGGGAGGACTCGCAGTTACATAGTGGGGCTGTTCTTCCCCAACTGTTCTGGGGGGCATATGGAGATGCCCCCTGAAAAAGGCCATGTGGCTGAATGGAAACATTGCATTCTGTATCCTCGAGTGCGGTGTCGGTTCCAGGAAACCCCACAGTAAAGACGCTTTAGAAACTTCCCCCAATATACCCCACATTTGATCTTCTTACATGGTTTGTTCCGTAGAACATACCTTAGGAAATGCTCCTGAAGGGTTAGTCTGTCACAGCCCAGAATGTGAGCCCTGAGGACCAGGGCTGTCGTTTACTTTCTGTACCTCCAGTGCCTGGCACTTGTTTACATTTATAAGGCACAGTATTTGTTAAATAAGTGACTCAGCAAGTAAATGAACTCATCTGGCCACTCCAGACAGGTCTGCCTGAGAGGAAGTGGCAGCACAGGCCCGTGCTTTCTCAGGGCGACAGGCGAAGGCCCTTCACTTTCCGTATCCTAAGGGCACGCAAGTCATCTCTCCTTAATCTTCTGAGATATGTGTGAAACTGAATTGATTCCCACATCGTGTCGGGGGCAAATGGAATGGAAGCAAGACGGTACATTTATTCAATATGTGTTAAATGGTCGATGGTGGAGAGGCGCTTTTTCTACGTTATTTCATGTAATCTTCATATCAGCCTCATAAAGTAAGCCTGATTGTCCCCATCTGAGAGATAATAACACAGGTTCCAGGAAGGTAAGGAACTTGCCAAAGATATATATCTGATAAGCATGTCAAATTTGAATTCAGGTCAATTTTGACTCCCAAATCCATACCTGCTGTTCACCTTACATCACACTGTCCCTAAGTAGGAAACTGGATTTGAATAGATGATATTAACACAGCATTATTTACGTTGAGACTTAGATGTGCTTTGAATATGTTGTATATGAATTCTTAATATTAATTCACAAGATTAATTCACAGTGGCTATTAGAATGGAAGGAAGCCTATGGGTTCCTCTCTCTCTCTATTTTTTAGAAACAAACAGAACAATCAGTTTCTACCACTCTAAAGCCTGGAATTGTAAGTTATGGTATAAGTGCTCTGCATGTATGCCTTTTTTTTAACCTGGCTGTTTTTTTAGACTCTGTCTCTATGCTCATTTCTTAGCTAAACTCCATCATTTGTACCAATTCTTCAAAGGCAAGAAAACGTACTGATTTTTTTTTTTTTAAGAGCTGGTCAGAACTGGCAGTCTTTGATTATAGGCCTGAGCCAACTGGGAGAAAATCACATTATGCTCAATCCACATTTCTGTCTGATAGGCAATGTCTGAGGGTGTCTATGGGGTAATTACTCAGGGAAAATATAGGCTAGAAAGCCAAGAAATGGGTAGACTACCTTTCCCCCCCAAAACCAAAGAAATGATGATTAACAGATGAGCCAGGATACGTAAAATTTTAGGGTTTTCACGATTCAATTAAGAGACCAATTAAAACTCGAGAAACATTTTCAAGAGCATGAACAAAAAATTTGTGAGATAAATATATATGAAGGAATTAGAAAATGTGGATTTGCCAAGTTTAATTTCTCCAGATTATTTCTATAGATGCGTGACTGTTAATGATAATTGTAAATGATATAAAACAATAATAAGGAATATTAATGAGCTCTTGCAATGTGCTGGGCATATATTAAGCACCTGACAAACATTGTCTCATTTAAAAACTTGGAAGTTCAGTTTTTCTGAATGGTAGTTATGATCAAAGTTGGGGAGAAACTGCTCCCTTTAACAGGACGAGCATCCTTATTTTTCTCACACTGGCTGGCTTCACTCATACGCGTTACCCGCCTTGCCTGGGTAGGCATTTTGGTTTTTGAGGGGCATTGTATCTTAAGTGCTTGTCACTATAGCCTGAAGGATAACTGGCTAAATTCTTTCCACTCTCCCAGAGCTTACAATGCCATGTGGCTTAAGCTGTTACAAGCTGTAGTAACAAAATATGCTTCTTAATTAGTGAAAGCAAAATAGGAACAGGTGCCTATTGGCCTCATGGCGACGGGATATTGTCTTCCAGCCCCTTGTTTTTGCCCTGGTAGCTGGCAGCAGCTTCATGGCTTAGCAGAGACAGCTTCCTCCTATAGGCGGTCACCAGTATGGAGACGACTATTCCCGGTGCCTCTTTGAATGAGCCAGTTATTACTAATTGCCTCTTTCTAAATTTCCAGTATACATTTCCCCAGACAGAGGATCTGACTGATTCAACTTGTCCCCATTCCACACAGGAGGCCTGTATTGGGCAGATCTTCTGGGTCAGGGCACTCCGTAGAAAGTTGGCTGGAAGTACCCGTCCCTAGTCCAGTCATTTATGTCCAGGGAGGCAGAGTGGAAAGGCATGAGGCATGATTTAAGAACCCTTTAGAAGGGGAGGTGGGCCCAGCAGGCACCCTGAAGCCCCCAGAAGGGGCTATGACTGTCATATACCTTCCTCGTGTCCAACTACAAGCTTCTTGACGCATTGGGAGTATTCAAAAGAAAGTTAAAATCAGACAGCTATTTTATTAATTTATGACAAACAGGAGAGCTTGCTCTCTCTGGTCAGGTTATTCATAATCACTCTAGTATCTCCCCATAGAAAGACCTGCATCAAAAGCTAAATCATAATCAGATAATTCTTTTTGAACACAGATGTTAGGTGGTAAAAGACTAAGCTGTTCTGACACATCTAGCTCATGATAGGGCTGGACTTGCCACTGGGCCTGGAGTACGTGGAGTTTCTGAGCTACCAGCTCCTGCATTTTTCTCACATTATAGATGGCCTTACAGATGGTCTCAAATTTTGAAGTTTCACTGCAAAGTGCTCCTTCAGTGGGTAACGTTTGGCTAGACACTACTAGTGTTTGTGACTCATCTTTTTCTAAGAATGATATTTAATTTTTTTAATTTTTAGCTAAAAAAGTTAATTTTTTAAAAATGAAAATATTTTATTTTTTACTGGAAAAATAATATGTAGCTCTCCTTGATACTCCCAGTCACAGTCCTTGTCTAGCCAAGACTCTGGTCATTTGTGTATCATTGTGATCGTGGGTCCCCCAAGAGTGTGACATGTCCAAGCCAAGACTGGCATTCTAGGTTCTGACAGGAATGGCATGACCAGTGCAGGGCTCCTGGAGTGTACGGAGCAGAATCTGTCCTTGAACGAGAGGCCTGTTAACATTTTCTCACCCATATTTAATCTATAGGGTCATGGTTCTCAAAGTGTGGCCTGGGGACACCTGGAGTTCTCGAGATCCTTTTGGGGCCCTGAATTAGAAACTTTAAAAAGTAATACTACTAAGGTGTTATTTGCCTTTTCTATTTTCATTCTCTTCTCCCATAAGTGCACAGTGGAGTTTTCCAAAGGCTACTTGATGATGATGTAACACAGTGAATGTAGAAGAAGACGGGACAATCCAGCATCATCTATTCAGCCAGACATTGAAGAGATCTACAAATATGTAAAAGCAATGTTGTTATTTTTACTAAAATTTTTGTTTTGGGAACTATAGTTATTTTACATATAAATATTTTGTTCATATTAACCTATAATTGGTTTATTATTGTTATTTTAAAATATATTATGAATAAATGTTAAAGCAATTTTTTAGTTTTAACCCACAAAGCTCTTTGGAATCTTAATAGTTTTAGAGTTAGAGGAGTCCTGACATGAAAAAAATCTGAGAACCTCTGATATTGGTCTTTTTCTTTTTAACATTACTGTAACTTAAAAATTGGACAAAACATGTGTTTACATCATATAATCCCAATGCTGTAAAATTGTAGACATGTATATTGTATAGAAAAAAGAAATAATGTGATAAACTTTGTTATGATTATAGACGATTTAAATTTTGAATATCTTTCTTTACAAAATTTCTAAAATGAGCATTAATTCTTTTATTATTAAAACAAAATAATACATTAGCTATCATTTAAAATCTAGAGCATGCTTATTCTGTGGTAATGCAGATATGGCAAAGCGAATTAGAATAAACTTGTTTGACTTTTAGGGTTATTTCCAAGTCTACAAGGCTTAGCCTTACAAAGATGCTACAAAATATAATTTCTCCCATTTTTAAAGAGAATAAAAGCTTTCTAACCTTGAGATGGGCTTCATCTCTTTTTCTTTTTTTAAAACTCTATTTTCCTTTAGGTCTCTTTCAAAGATTCTCTTGTAGAGAAAATTTTTGCAGAGGAGAGGATTGAAAATTAGACCTGAAGTCACTACAAATTGTAACGTTACTTTGAAAGTAAAATTATGGGGACCTCTATTGAAGGGACTTTAATTGCATTTGTTCCCATTAAACTGCTTCCACATAATCTACAGTTACACCAGACTCCTCGTGGATTTAACGAATGCATCCCTACGGTCACTCGTAAACACTCACTGGGTGATTTCTGTGAACTAGTCGGTGTACTCCTGTGCTGAGATTACAAACGTGAATAATCTTGGTTCCTTCCCTCAGGAGCTAACAGTCTGTGAGAGAGTCAGACACATAAAGAACTTATTAAATTTTGGTCTGACAAGTGTTGTAATACAGGATGTGCCAAGAACTATGCTGCCATATAAAGTTTAGATGTTGGTTTATTTACTCAACCAGAATTTACTGAGTTCCAATGTTGTACAAAGTGTAGTGTAGGACAAGGCAAGTAATTTTGCCTTCTAGAACTGTACAGTCAGTTGAGGGAACAATAACACACACACTTACACGTCCCAAGATCAGCAGTGGTAGTTGAAGGCTGTTATGAGATTAAATTCCAACGACTTATAGAAAATAGAGCCATAGGACTTCAGAGAACAGACCTATATAGGCAGGAACAGTTTCAAAGCCCTAATTTCAGAGCCCCTTTAAATGAGTCTTGAGGAGCAGGTAGGATCACAGGACAGAGGGGAGGCACAGGGTCCCTGAAGGTGGGGCTTGCAAATAGCACCTTTTGTTCTCTTTAGTCCTGAAGCCCCCTTTATAGAATAAATATTTCCATTTCTGAAAATAAATTAATTCTATAGCTTGTGTGCATTCATAATTTAAAAACTAAATTACATGAAATATAAACATAATGTCCTTGTTGTAATTTAAAGGAGAAAAAAAGGAAAATAAACAGTGTGCACTTTAATGTATGATGATTGAGCATGACTAGCCAAGAAACCAAAATGAAATAGTCAGATGTTTGTACCTACTTGGAATGACTCAGAATTGAGAAGAAGTAAAATTAAAAGCCAGGCTGAACAAGAGGAGGGAAGTGGAAGGGCAGAGGTGAGTGTACATAGAGCAAAAACGAGTGCTAGGGAAGAATGCCTGCCTCGCCCTGCCCATCTACGACAAGACTAAGAGGAAGAGAACTGTGACTGCAGCCAGGGTAACATGTCAAGACAAATTACAGGGTGTTGAAGTGAGAACATGAGGAAGTATGATATTCTTGCAGTGAACTGAGCCCTTATTTATAAGTGTGTCCAAATAAGTCCCTGTGTGGCATGGGATGGAGAGGAGACAGGACAGTTCATTGAGCAAATTCTCTCTTGAAACCACATGTTGAGGTTTACACTCTGTCTTGAGCATCTAGAACAAGCACGGAGACCACATGCTCTAACAGCCAACAGGAAATCAGAGATCTATAAAAAAAAAAGAAATAGCAATTCAAGGGACGGAAGAAGGCTTGTGGCAGATCTCTGAGGACTTTAAGATCGAAAAGAACATTAGATTCAAGAACAAGAGGTAATTTCAAGAAATTTCAAGCTGTAATGTTCACAACATACTCAAAATGTACCCATTCTGCCACGTAATTACCATAAAATAAAAAGTATTAATAAAACGTGTAGATCTTTGCATTCATATATCTCAAATAACATCAATGGCGCCTCAGGTCTTCTCTGTAAAATATTTGCAAATTGAGATGCTTATCAGCTACCAATGAAGATGATTCAAGTGTGGGGCTGTGGCTCAAACACCGTGAGTGGTGCTTGCCTTTAAGGACATGATTTTTCACAATGGTTAGCAACTCTTGGGAAGGTCTGAGCAAAAGCAAAATATTCTCTTCCTATGATTAAAAGGAAGGTGCAGGCTAAAATATTCCATGTACATTAATATTGTGCAAAAAATACATTGTGTCATATACCAAAAAGACCTGGATCCTAAGCTCAGATATGCAAATTGCTTTATTTACCTCCATGAAAATCTGGTGGGACATTTGAAAGTCATGCAGGATGGGAACCAAATTGTCCTTGTTTGGCACTTCCCCATGCACAGCAAAACACTGAGCAGCACTGGCTCTTGACACCGTATGTCAATAGCAGCTTTAATTGTGACAGCAAAAAAGCCAGCAAAAATTGCCAAAGTACACCCCCATAGGCTTGTCCCATTTCCAGTCCAAGATCCTGTTACCATAAAGCAATCAAAAAAGCTTAACTACGTTGAGTTGCACTGTAAAACTAATAATGTATTACAGTGGATTTGAAGGAGAGTGAAGAGGCCTTCTGTTGGGTAGAGCCAACTAGTGGAGACTTTTAAACTCAAGGCTGCAGATTTTACTCCAAGATTCTTGAGAAATTATTAAAATGTTCTAATGTCTTACTTAATTTAGTCTAAAACTTACACTTCTTTAGTTTTTTGTGTTTCTGTAATTTTTCTACTATCACAGTTCAAAAGGATCTAACTCTTTAGATAAAAAAACTGAGTTTGCAAATTGTATCGACTCACTAGCGAATGCTTGAGCAGAGTTCAAGTCTTGACTGTCTGCCATGAGCATTTGTGGGTAAACATCAATTGTAGGGAATGCTCATTTCAGGGATGTCATTCCTGGAATTTCACGTCTGCTCACACATCAAACAGATAACTACTGGTCATGTAATGACTGGGGTAAGAATAGAGTGTCTGCCAGAATTTTTGTTTTGTGAAATTTTATAGTCTTGCAAAAATGCAAATCTTTAAATCATGTCTAAGTTAGGAAAGAATCGAGAATGTGCCTGGCCATATTTTTACCCCAGACCTCTCATGGTTTGGAGTCACCTTTCTCTTCTAGTGTCCAAGTCTCTTAATGTACTCTGAGTGTCGTAGTTTAGGGAAATTTGAAGCTTAAATATTTCAGAATATTTCAGTGTCTTCCAGATGGTTTTGTAGAAGGATGTCCCTGCTTTTCATGGAGACACATTATTCTAATGGTGCAGCATAAATACACGCCAATCATGCTTTCTTGACAGACAGTGGAGTCCCAGGCCCAAAAAAACTTCTGTGACTTGGTAATTTCCAGGAGAAAAGTATAGGATGATTTCAAGAACAGGGATTGCATCTTATTTCTTCTGTATTCCAAGCACCTGGCATGCTGTCTAGCACTAGGCATTTAGTAACTGTCTTTTGATTGAATGAACGAGGGAGAAATGGGTGGGGGGCTGCTGTGCTTTGGGGTTTTCCAGGTTTATTCTCGGTTCCAGCTTCTCTGGCTGATGATGTCTGACCAGCAGAGGGAGCCCAAGATCCATGTCAGGGTCAGAGAACAACATGCAGAAAGGAAATTTCTAGCCATAGAAAAGCAACTATCAGGAGAAGGAAACAAATAAGTCTGAAGCTGCCAAGAGGGCTTAATTTAAAGACTTTCAATAAAAGATTTCTTCTGGAGTTCTGACTAATCTTAATACTATGTGGATAATATATTAGAGAAAAATATCTATTTTTTATTTGAGTTTGAAACATGGGACAACCAGGAAATTTAAAGGAGAAAATAAAGATTGCTCACAACTAACTTTGACTCAAATTTCACTGTATCTACTTTTATTTTTAGATACATAATATATAGAATGTAAGCTCTTCAAGGAAAGAAATTTTTGTATTATTTATTGAATTAACCCAAGCACCTATTATTATAGTGCCTGGCACATATAGACAC